ATATTATATTTATTTTTTATAATATTAAATATTACGAATTACTTAATGTTTAATTGTAAATTAATTTAATTAAACAATAAATATATATATTAATTTCAATATGAGCTGAATTCAAGATTTTTTTTTTATTTTTTCAAGGTTAATTACCAACGTGATTCTCGTCGGTAACTAGGAAAAAAAAAATGGCACCTAAAAAAAATGGCGCTTGAAAAAATTAGCGCCTAAAATTTTGGAGATGATTTTCAACCTATCAGTGAAGATCTTTATGTAGTTCAGACGTGGTTTTTGTTGGTGATTTACTAACATGGCCCAAATTTCGAAGCATTTTCCTGCATTGCCAGACATGATGTTCGTCGGTGATTAGCTCAAAGCTCGAGGCCCCTCTATATGTGCAGACGTTATGCTTATCAATAATTTACCGATGTGGGAACCAGAGATGTTTTTCGGTGAACTATTCCGGCTCCCTCTTTGCAAGATGTTTCTTGTCGGTAATGAGGAGTGCGTTTATCGACGTGATTTTCATCTACGTCAATGATTGAATTACTGAGCTTGGCTTCATCGACAAACCCATTACCGACGTGATCCAAGTGGGAATTTTGTTTCACCAACCAGATTCCCTCTTTCACCGACATGATTGCTCGTTGGTGACACAGTGAATTCTTGTAGTGAAATACTACATTCAAGTTCCTATTTGTTTTCTAAGAAACTTTTCTCGTAAAAAATTGTTCAGAAAATGAGATTATGATGATGTGAAGCACTACTTTATTGCTTCCTTCTTATCATCATCTACACTCTTGACCAACAAATCAAGTTCAATTGATCTTTCATCCACCCATTTTTTCCAATGTACTCCAATATGAAACTAATACTAAAACTTCCTAGATATGCTTTTTTGACGAGTTTCAATAGCGAATTTTTTTTTAATCGACCAAATTAAGATTATTTATTGATTTAGAGTACAAAATATACTTCTACTTCTACTTTACAAATTAAGTTTACAAAAACCAATGAACATCTATTACAAGTCAACTAATCTTACACATATGCTAAGATTACAATTCGAATCATATAAAGAAAACTCATATACCTTTAACTTACTCTTTATCCATAAAAATGTTTTAATTTGAATTATTTCCACCATTCTATCATCCGAGATTACTACAGAATCAAAAACCTTTTGTTTACACCATAAATTGCAAAAATTTAAAATAATGTCACACGTCAAATATTTTTAAATGGATAGAGGTGATTTAACCATGTTACATATGCAATTCTAGGTCCCATGACAAATCAAGCACCACACATAGGAAAAAATGAGATAAAAAGATAAGATTTTATCTTTTGGTTGCCTATTTGAGTTAAATTGGATTTGTTTTAGCTGAAATTTAGGAGATGGTTTCAGTTATGGGTGTGGGTTAGCTGATAATAAGATAGGTGGCGAAATCTAGATGGAAGTCTGACTTTGTCAACTGCTGAGGTGTCCCACTTCAAGAAACTGCCCATGGTTTGTGTAACTGCAAAAACTGGGGAGTCGCAATAGAGAAAAAGGGAAACAAAAGGAAAATTTTTGATGGTTCAAGACACGACCAGCCCTACACATTAGATTTTCAATTTCTCTGTGATTGCTCACTTTAACTTACAGATTTCAGATTTTAGCATAATTCCCAGTAGATTTAGATTTTCTTTCACCATTCCAGTAGTCAAACTAGTTCATGTATTTGTTTCAATAATTTCGTTTCATGTAATGAACATCAAGTATTGAATTTCTACAATGTACTGTTCCTTTTTTTACTAGTATTAATTTAATGTTGTGATAAGTAGCATTCATAAAATAATTACTTATATGACGTTCATGCTTCTTCTCAATTTTGAGCATGTTAATTTAGTTCTTGTTCATATTTGTTTTAGTGTTATTTAGGGTTAGATCTCTAATTCTGCAATAGTTTAATTTCCAAATCTATTTGTAGATAGTAGTTTAATCTGACAATGAACATGTTTAATTTAATTTAGATACATCTTGTTCTCCCAAGTTTACTTTAATTTGCATGTCATTTAGCTCATTTAGGATCTATTAACTCTGATTTGCGGTAGTATTTAAATCCTTAGAGTTGTCCAAGGCAAATTTAGTAACCTATTCTGCAGAAAGGCATCCATCCCTCTTGCAAATTATCTGTAGGTGTAGATTTTAATTTTAAATCAATGTTCTTTTCGTCATCCGCAAGGAGGTCAATCGTGAGGAAGGAGAGGGTCGTTAGGAAAATCTTTCTTTTTTGTTTTCAGCAAAGTAAGTGACCCATCTGTATCCAGATTTTACACATGCGAAACCACTTGAGGATTTTTGGAAGAACACCTTTCTACTTCTATTTCCCCCACAAATGCCAAGCAATAGATATAAACAAGAAAGACCAGATCTCCTTAAGCTTTCCATTTTTCCATATCTGAGAAAGTTGCCTAAATGCATCGCAAATTGAGCTAGATAATAATAAGGTTGAAAAAAAAAATTGTTTGTCTTCCTTAATATATGAGAAAACAACCATTAATCTAGGATAAATTTTAAGTTAAAAAACATCTTTTGTTTTAGGATAAAGGGAGTAGTGATTAATTAAAGATAAATATAAAATTTTATCATTTAATTATTACATTGTTATTGTGTTAAAAATAAGTAGGTCAACTAAATTTGAACAAGGGAATACATGAACCTAAGTGTGGTTTGTTATGATCATAAAAAATGTTAAGGCTACTTTGTTTTTCTTTAAACAATGTTTGAAAATATTAATTTGTTGATTGATTTTAATTTATTAACTAGAGTAATAAATATCAACTGTTCTATCAATTAGTTTTAGTTAAGTGTTACAGTTATTAACTAATTTTATTAATCAAATTAAATTAAATTAATATTTTTAAAAATAATATAATATTTTATAGTTTTAAATAATCTTAACATTTTGATTGGTGGCAATAATGCTACCCCATGAACCTAAACCAAAAAATTGTTCTTGCAATACATCATAATTTATCACCAAGGTGAAGATGGGCAAAGATGAAAATCACATTTTCCTCTAGAGTTACAATTTTTTTTCTTGAGGTGAA